TTACAGAGATGCATCGAACAGCAGTTGACCAAACACTTCATAGATTTTATTAAGATTTATGATATTTTAATAATTATGTATTTGAATAAAAATATTATCTTTGCAGTCTAAAGTTTCAGATTTCCAGGAACTTTTCTTATAACACTACTTATTTTCATTGCTGACATGCTGTATAATTCTATTTCCAGGTAATTGATAGGAAGTCCAGATACGTACTTATTCTTGCTTGGCACCAAGTTATGTGAGCACAACTTCACGGATTAGTCTCACATAGATCACGCGCAGTGGTAAGTATTATTAGGCTGAATGCATGTTTAATACATCATTCGCAGATTAACATGTTTCATAATTTTAAATGGCAGTACTTAGGCTTTTGGATAATGAGTGTACTTGAAGGGAATGTTCATAAATTGGTCTCGACGACGAGCCATCTGACATTGACGTAAGCAGAGATTATTTTTATTATTATTAGTGTTCTGTCTGAGGACAGGTCCATATGAACAGGATCCTTCCATCCTTTTCTCGGACTGGGACCTGTTCATATACGTTCTTGGCAGAAGATCCAGAAGTGGTTTGCCATTGCCTTCTTCTGTGTGTGAATGGAGTAATTGTTGGGATGCCACGGAGGAAAACTCCGTGTTGCCTAGACCACGGCCTTGCCCAACACAAGTTATAAATTCGGGCACCGCCGGGAATGGAACCCGAGACCCCAGGATTACAAGGCCAGCGTTCTAACCGCTAGACCACCGTTAATACAGTTTATTTATACCTTTAACAAATATGATAAGTGAGGTATTGAAATGTATGAAATTAAATTTTTGAGAGCTGTAGGAGGTTATAAATTACTAGACAAAATAAAATAAGTGAACAAATCAAACAGCAGAGACTACGAGGGACTAAACACGTTCTGAGAATGAGTGCTATAAGACTACGGTATAAGCCATAAGGCAAAAGGCAGCTAGGATGACGGAAGAAATGACGGATAGACCAAGTACACATTTAGTTGGAGTCGGAATGGATCCCTATGGACCCACTCCTCGGAGATGATTATGATGAGGTCTTCCGTGTTCACTATTGAATCCACTGCTTTCAACAACGTAGTGTCGAGGAATAAAATCAGGCCTACACCAGATGTTTTGGTGAAACCTGATACTTTTCCTTCAAAGCTGCTTTCAAGAAACAACTTTAAACCATACAATATTTTTATTTTCCGTCTATACACAAACTTAAAATAATGTTGTTTAAAATTACTTAAAATTATAACATTCTCAGTAGATACTGCATCTTGTCGATACAAAAAAATGTAACAAGATGCAGTATCTACTGAGAATGTTATAATTTTAAGTAATTTTAAACAACATTATTTTAAGTTTGTGTATAGACGGAAGATAAAAATATTGTATCAATAAAACACAAACATGACGCAATTAAGGTATAAACTTTAAACCACTTTCATGCATGGCAAAATTATCTGTTTATGTTAGAACCTTCTGCTTTCATACATGGAATAATTATCTGTTTATGTTAGAACCTTCTGTAAGTGACATGAAACATGTTAATACTGCATTGCCAAATCATGGCAGTGTTTTATATATCACTGTTACAAGGAATATACATCTTTATAATAGAGGAGCATTCTTCTGGGAAGAAAGATAATATTTTATCATATTTGTGTCATTTAATCAGTGACTATTTACATAATATTAAGCTCAGTAGTGACTGGAAGTATTTTCCTAAAAATTACCATTAATATATTTTGATAAATCGTAACGTAAAATTAATATTCTGGATTTTTTCCTCTGAATCTTTCATCATTTAGGTTTATAAGATATTTGTTAAGAGTGGTGGCATCACTGAGCAAACATGTTGGCAAGCATGTATGGTTAACTGTACTGACTTTGACGTTGGAGTGAGGGGTGTACTGTCCCAGGACCCTGATCTAAATTATTGTGAATATGCCACACATTTTGGATAACAATATATTCTGTACTGGTTTCCCCCCTTATTGTGGTTCAAATAATGAGTAATAATGTGAATCAGTCTTTATGTTTTAACAATAACATCATATTTATAGAACGACCATTTTTTGCTGTTTATAATACGTTTTTCGTGTTTTGTACTTCAGTCCGAGTGTTGGTGTTTTTTCTCCAGACCAAAGAAATTAGTGTTCTTGTTCTCGTATATATTTACCATATTTTGAGTGACGGTTTTCCTGATTATTTCATGAATGTACGAGGCGCGTCCCAAAAGTAAGTTTCCCACTCGTCCCACAGCTAGCAAACCTTATATTGCGCGAAGCGACTGTGCGTACGTGATAGAGCAATGACGTAGCATGGCGCATGCACTAACGGCACTTCCCGCGTTCTCACAGTAGCATCGTTGCAGCTGTTGAAGATGGAGGTTCTTATTCCAGCTCCCGCCGACTGTGAAGTGCGGTCAGTGATAACGCTAGGCCGCACACGGCTCGACGGACAGCAAGTCTCCTGCAGAAGTTCAGCTGGGAGGTGTTTAATCATCCACCCTACAGCCCGGACCTCGCTCCCAGTGATTTCCATCTTTTCCTACACCTCAAGAAATTCCTGTCCGGTCAGCGTCAGCGTTTTGAGAATGACAGAGAGGCGGAGATGGTTGTCACACAGTGGTTCCAATCCCAGGCGGCAGACTTCTACGACACAGGTATTCAAAAGTTGGTCCCACGGTATGACAAATGTCTCAATTCCGGTGGCGAATATGTTGAAAAATAGCTGGACACTTGCTGTATCTGTTGCAATAAATATTTCCATGAAATTGTGTTTTGTTTCTGTAAACGACCCCAGGGAAACTTACTTTGTGGACGCGCCTCGTATTTACTGTTCCTTTGATTTATACACCGATGCTTTGTCACGGCATTAACAGCCTGTTTGGTGTACTGAGTCCGAACACAAAATATGTTATTTTATGTAAAATTAATAGTGGTTGGTATGAAATCATTGATGTAATTGACTAGATTATGTGCACATGTTGAATTTAAGGATTTATCTCTCATCTCTGCTTTCTACTGCTCATGTGTGTTCACCCCAGGGTTTTTTTTAGTCATTTTCTGGCTGTCGTGTATTTTCGTGCGCCTGCTTCTTGGATTTTAATGTGCCTTTTTCTTCTTACTTTGTCTCCTAAATCTTTCTTCCTAATATATTAATTAAATATATTTATATTGTAACATTAAGCAACAGTTTTTCAACAATACTCGATATAAAACTATATGGATTTAAAAATTGTTTCATATTTTTTTTAAAGATGTTAAATGTGTAGTTCGTAATATTTCTTTTGCAATGTTTCCTTCTTGTTATAACATGACCATCCATATTGTTGAATATCTAACAAAATTAAAATTTTGGATGACTAAATATTAACTATGACATTTATATATTTTTTTTCTTGAAAATAGTTTTCGGACATTTACGATATTGTTTCGCTAAAATCAAATTTTGAGTGGAATTTCAAGAATTTTAAGTAAAGAAGCAGGCATTCTGATATTTTAATTGTTTTGAATTTAACTTTTAAATGTTCATGCCATCGTTAAATATGCATATCACAGTCCTAATATCAAACACATTATGCTGCTTCTATTTCTCGTCATTTACAGTTCCCACTATACGATAACTGTAATATTCTGTTCACATTTAATGACCTTATACATCATTTCTGTCTTGCTGGCTAACAGTTTTGGCTGTTGTACTTATCTTTTCGACGTCCGTACGTGTGTCTGCAGAGCTTTGTGTAGATGAAAATGGATGGAGGAAAGATTTGAGTTCCGTGTTTGGGAGACGGTCAACCGGTCACGTCGATTGATTTGTTGTCTCGACCTGCGTTGTTGTTGTTGTTGCTGTGATGTTATGTTTCTCATGGCTTCATGTTATTTTTCTTCTCCTGAGTCTTTTTCGTATTGGCTTGTTCCATCTTGGCCGCTGGCTGACTCTGCTCTTCAGCTTTTATTGTTGTGTTCTCCACCTGGTTAGTAATTTGTGTTTTGTGCGTTTAATTAAATCGATTAATTAATAATAAATTGTGCTGATACATAAATATATTGGTATGTATTTATGCTCACAGTTTTATTTATTATCATTTTAATGAGTTTGTTGTTGTGTATTATGATCTAAAGCTGGAAGGTTTTTCTCATTGAATTCACTTTGAAGAGGTTAACAATTATTCGTCTGTTTATTTTTCAACGTAGGGTAATTTCGGTTTTAAAATTTAATTAATGTTAAAGAAATAATGAGACTGTTTACTCAAATCATCACACTTTCACTAAAATGTAATGGCCTAGATTTTGTATAGGATTCGAGTGGTTCTTATGCATGAACATCAAATTTTTAATTGATGTACTACTAGAGATAGGATATAATAAAATTATAATGTAAGCTTCAATCAGTAATAATTATGTAACATAATGAAAAGTCATTTCATTCGTCACGTTTACAGCTTTCTAATTCCGTACCGATCGAAGTATTGTTTCCATGTCAGTTACGACTGCTGGAGGAAAGACACAGTTATCACATTGTTTATTCTGGTCATAACATTTAAAAGCCTGATTATTTTTTTCCCTATTAAGTTGTAACAATTATTTATTTTAATCCGTCTTATCACAATATTTAAAATTTCTTATAATGAAGATAATAAAATATCATTGATGTTCCATATCGATTGATCGATTTACATTTTGGAACATCTTTTACACCTCGCCCAAAATTGAAAAACAAATGGCATGAAACATCACCAAATGGAATCATATTTGAGTTTTAAGTTCGTAAATATTTTACACCTGATGATGGTTTTATAAAAACTGAAACATGTTGTGTAAAAGATGTTCCAAAATGTAAATCGATCAATCGATATGGAACATCAATGATATTTTATTATCTTAATTATAAGAAATTTTAAATATTGTGATAAGACGGATTAAAATAAATAATGGTTAGAATATTCACAATATGACGCAATTACAAAACCATTGAAATAAGCTTTCATACTGCAGCCTGAAAGCACACGAATTATTGACTCATTTGTATAAACATTTTTGGCACCCCTGAAATAGACGCACTTAGCCTAAGAACACCAGATGGAAAACAATGATTAAAATTCTGACGTTCACAATTGGCATGAAGGGGTGAGACAGTGAAGAGGGTATTAGAAATGAGGATCTTATTTTGTAGCGTCGTGAGAGACTAATTATAATTACATTGGCATAAGCCACACTTCCATGAAAATGAGTTTTGTATTTTAAGCCGCTCACCACAACACGAATAACAGATAAGTAGCTTCTTCTGGAAACGCAAAATAACACAAAATGCTTATTTCTACATGACGAAATCCGTTGTTCTCTGCGGAGTCTGTGAAACATTGAAAGGTTATATTTCTCGTGCAGCATTCTCAGAAAGTCAACACCGTCTAATTGTACCCAGTAATCTCTGTTCAGTTAATTTACGACGCTAATATAAAATACTAAACTTCTAGTTCCAAATAATTATTAGTGTTCTGTCTGACGACAGGTCCATATGAACAGGATCCTTCCATCCTTTTCTCGGACTGGGACCTGTTCATATACGTTCTTGGCAGATGATCCAGAAGTGGCTTGCCATTGCCTTCTTTTTATAGACACCCATACCAATGATGATGCAAACAGGGAAGACGCCAATCGCCCAACCAACGGCATCAGCCCATATTGGATATTGGTAGTCCCCGTATTTCACAGGAGCGTATTCAACCCAATTGAAAAAGAGGATGAACTGAAATAAATACACTCCAAGATTTGTAGTGTAAGTACTGAAATATATTGTGTTATACTTATTTTATTTTATTCAGAATGAGTGTCCACATAATTTAGAAAAGATCGTATCTTCTGAGGGACATACTAGAAGCAGTGTAATAGTTTCGTATGAAGAGTTATTTAATTTTAAGTCGGTACCACAAAATACTCGTTTGTTAAATTGAAAAATGTTTACTGTTTATTTTATTTCGTGCAATGAGCAGCCTGTTCATGGTTGTTCAGGGATAATTTTAACCCTGTTTAAACTTTAAAAGAAGATGACCTTGCACTAAATTGGATATTATATACAAATATACTTCCATTTCATCTGTCATTCCATTTATACATTTGTCCATAACTAACTAACTAGATGGCTTACCGAACCCGAAGGTTCATCACCGAATTAACCAAAGCCCTCCACCGGACCCTGTCCTGGGCCAACAAAATCCAGTCTCCTTCAACTCCTATCTCCCATAGATCCCGCCTGAGATTATCCTCCCATCTACGTCTAGGTCTCCCCAGAGGTCTCTTCCCTTCAGGTTTCCCAACCAGTACCCGGTGCACACCTCTTGTCCCATCCATGCGCGCTACATGTCCCGCCCATCTCACTCTTCTCGACTTAATCACCCTCACAATACTGGGGGAGCAGTACAGATTTTAAGCTAGTCATTGTGCAGTTTTCTCCACGCCCCATCGTCTTCCCTCTTAGGCCCAAATATCCTCCCCAACACCCGATTCTCAAACACCTGCAATCTGTGTTCCTCCCTCTGAGGGAGAGACCATGTTTCGCACCCATACAAAACAACAGGCAAGATTATTGTTTTGTAAACTTTAATTTTCAGGTTTTTAGAAATCAGACGGGAAGACAAAATATTTTGGACTGAGAAGTAGCAAGCATTTCCGGAATTTAGTCTCCTCCTAACTTCCTCACAAGTATCATTTTGATTTGTTATTGCTGTTCCCAAATATTTGAACTTTGTAACCCTTTCAAAGGATTTATTAGCTACCCTAAGATAATTTTGCCCGCCTGTCTTCTGATGACGAGATACTAACATGTACTTAGTTTTTTCTGAATTTACTTCCAGCCCCACTTGTCTACCAGCCTCTAGTAAAACTTCTGCGTTCCTCTTTATTGTATTTATATCGTCCCCCAATAAATTAACATCATCAGCATATGCCAATAGCTGATGTGTCCCATTCAATTGCAAACCCTCCTGCCTACCTTGGACCTTCCTGATGGCGTATACCAAGAGAGCTGCTGGAGTAATGACTTTCCACATCCATGTCCAGAAAAACATCCACAACCGTGACTTTTGGCCAATCATATCTTGGATATCTCTAAGGAAGCGATTTGCACCGTAGACCCATGAAATGAGGATGCATTCAACAATTGCTATCAACAGAACTGACCAATTAGCTGCGTACTTATCCACCAGTTGAAGCCAGTACATTCCACTCTACAACAAACAGAAAAAAATATTGCAATTACCGCTAAAATTTTCCACATCCAGAAATTTGTCAAGGATCATTGCTATGATTTATTAAAATATCTGATAATAGTTACGGTCTTGATGACAGATCAAATTTATATTTTCATTAAATAATCTTATTCAGAAACTCGTTTGTTCTGTAGCTACATTAGGCCGATAATCGATTAAAATTCATTTAGCTTGTGAGACTGTTGTACATTTTATCTTAGACTTTGCTAGGATAAACTGAATTAATGTGAGATACCAATTTATCATGACAGTGAGTATGAGGGTAGCTCCTCTGGGATGTTGCATCATGTAGTCTCGTCAAGGTCGACTGACATTTCAGAGGTGCTTTCTACCTCATTGTCCTTTTGATGGAGGCAGTAAGTACCTCTGAAATGTCAGTCAACTTTGATGAGACTTCTTCTATGGCTCTCCGGTCTGTATTCGGTCCATGGCCTCCTCAATTCTCCTCTTACATTCGGTCCTCTGTTAGGTCTGGCTGTCCGAGGCTTTGATCGAGATATCGAAACATCTTCCTTTTTACGGTGCAAGGTTGTTAGCCTTGCGACGAACTCCCAACCTGGAGGAGACGAGACTACACAGTGCAATATCCCATAAGGCTGCCATCTTTGTACTGAATGAAAGTACACGTGGCTGGAGACAGTAAAAAAGTTGACGTAACTTACATTTGTTGTAAAGATGAGTCCTCCAAAGTATCCAAACACAGCTACAATGAGGACCACCCATATCTTGTAATCCCGCAGGTTAGGGAAACGATCGAGTATGGCAGTGGTCACCGTTTCCATGAGAGCAAACTGCGAGTCCAGCCCGAGAGTGAGCAGCATCACAAAGAAGAGAAGGGACCACAGTGGTGAGACCGGAAGCCGAGCCACAACTTCCGGGTATACAATAAAAGCAAGACCTGCGCCTTGGTCCACGACGTTCTTCACTTCCACCTGAAGCTCATGTGCGAGGAAACCAATCACAGAGAAGATCACAAGTCCAGCAAAGAATGAAGTCAAAATGTTGGATATGGCAACGATCAGGGCGTCTCTGTTGAATAAAAGTGCGAGCCGTCAGCAGCTGGTAAGTCCAGACACTTCCATTAAAGTTAATGAACATTATTATTTTATTAAAAATAATCACAATATGACGCATTTACAATATCTAATATATTATTATTTTAGTGTGTGAGATGTGGGTTTCTAATGGCAAACGTTGATCTTCTGTGTAGTAACTCCATGTGAACTTTTAGTTCGATTACAGTATCTTGGAGGAACGTACTGCCTTCATCTTCGGGATTGAAGCTGAGGTAGTATGTTTTTCCAAAAAAAAATTGGTATTTAAGTACAAGTCTATGCAGCGTCCGAGGTAAAGTTTTATTTAAGTTCATCGTGTGGTACTGGAATGTAGAGGAGAGGAAGTAGTTACATTGATTTGTTGACGTTCAGGGTTATTTTTGTACTCGCTGCCATGAGAACCTCAGATCTTATGATTGTTTTGTTGTTGTAATGAACAGAATCTTAAAGAAATTTAATGAATACAAGAAAATGGCTTCTTCGATAGATGTTAATGAGCCTATAAACCTGCTGTTAGGTTGTTTTGAAGAATTAAGACGTAGTGGATGCTCTGATCCAAGACGAAACGAGAGTGAGATGAGACAGCGATCTTAGGCGTCAGTTGTACACACGTAACCCACATTTGTTTTGAGTATCTTTCAGTAATGGATATTATTATTTGTTTATAGTTTTTTAATGACACTGTTTGTAGCTCGGACTTTTTAACATCGGATATTTAGCGAATAAGGCCTTGTGACGAGCCGATCCCTCGTCCAAGGAGTCCTACCAAATGTCCATAGATCAAGCCAACTAAAAAGTTGGGGACCCATAAAATGAAGATATTTAGAAATATTATTAAAATATATATATTAAAATTGTCCGTCAATCACAATAAAGTAATACAAGATAATTAAATGGTTAAAATATTATCCTTTGTTCCGTATCGAGTACTCGATACGGAACAAAGGATAATATTTTAACCATTTAATTATCTTGTATTACTTTATTGTGATTGACGGACAATTTTAATATATATATTTTAATAATATTTCTAAATAAAATCGCAATATGACGCACCTACAATATGTTATGAAGATATTTAGTGAATAATAACATGGAAGGGATACGTAAGGAAACAGTCACGGCCTACGTGATGGTACTGCCTTGGCATTTTAGTGGAGTGACTGTTGGAAAACCATGGAAACGTGAGTCAGGATAGCCGTTCTCGAGGTTGAGATTCAAATCTGGCATCTCCTAAATATAAAACAGGAGAACTAATTACTTGGCCGTAATGTAGTTGTGTATCGAATATGAACCTGATAGCGAAGTTAATTTCAGTATTATCATTTATGTGGAGAAATTGATAAACAAGCATCCTTTTAGCAACTGGAAGTATATATATGGATAATTAATGTCTTAGTTTGCCTTGCGTTGGTTTCTAGAATATTTTATTTGGTACAGGGGAAGAACTGAGTTTGTGCTTAGATGAGAGTGCAGTTGTACTTACTGGTAGCAGTTGTTTGTGAACTTGTTATAGGAAGCTAAGGTAATTAGCCCTCCCCATGCTGGACTTAGAGCAAAGAAGATTTGAACCGCTGCATCTCCCCATACCTGAAATTATAAATGAGCCACAGTTTTAATTAATTCAGTTAGACAGATCGCGAGATTGTTTACGTGCCCTGATAATTGCATTCTGCGTAATTCAGGCTGCGAAGTTTCAACATGTGATCATATGAACATCTTTATTTATGACATTTCACTGGCACTTAAGAATAATAGACATTTTTCCATTCCTAACTCAGTACAGAAATATTAATAACTTTATTTTAATTATTACTACCAGTTTGTTATTACTCAAGTAAAATTGGCCACTGCTACTACACAACATATATTATTCTTAGTTTATTTAATGACACTTTCTGAACTGTTTCTGTTACGTTTCTTGAAATGGAAAGGTGACTCTTAGTAGTGGGTGTTGGCAGCCATGGCTCTGGCTTGTTTCAAGGTCATATCCCATAATTTTGCAGGAGAAAGTGAGAAAATCCACAAGAGGTCTTTCGGGATAGCCGTCGTCAAGAATTTAAAAATGGTCCTCCCAAATACAATTTAATCGAAAACTTTGTCGTTGTTTTATAAAGGGTCATTAAAATCAACCTTCATTGGCCGCGTAGATGGAAATGCCATGGTATGGGAATTTAAATTCCCTGATAAACGTCTGTAGTAAATTTGAACATTGCACCGAAAGCTATATAATAATTATAATATTTGTAGCCTTAATCGTTACCATAGTAACTGCCGACACATGGAACGTTTTCTGTCGTGAGGTGATCGTACCTGAGCATTGGCAAGTCGATGCCAATCTGGAGTGAGGTAGAAGAGAATACCAGTGGATGCCCCTGGAAGACTTACGCCTCGTATGAACAGTATCACCAGAACGACGTAAGGAAATAGAGCTGTGAAGTATACGACCTGTAACAGTTTCAGCCATTGAGACAATTAAACGTAGACTGCGTTTAAGATTAATGTCGAAAAATGCGTTGGTTGAAGCATAAGTTACCGATGAAGAGAGAAGATACTTTGGACCATAGAAGGACTTAGAGAAATCTGACTGATACCTGATATCACCTGCACTTACCTTGCCTGATGACTGCACCCCTTTACAGAGACACAGAAATACAATTATCCATGCTAACAGCAGGCACATTGCCATGGGCAACCGGATTTCTCCGGTCTCCTCAATCCCAGCCGACAGACCCAGGACCCGTCGTCTGCGGAACAGAAGAGAACGCGGCTTAAGATTATAAGGGATTTTGAGGTGAAGACCCAGGCTTGAAGATGGAAACAGTATGTTCCTCCGAAACATTGGTGTCTCTCTCTACAAGTCCTCAGTCCACATGGCTAACATTGTCAAGATTGTGAATCTTTACTTATTTATGAGGAGAAATAAGCCTGTAATCGTGCTTAAGTTCGTTTATGACACCATCTCTTGTAAAAAATTTTTTTATAAAATTGACTGAAAGTCTGTATGAACTTTCTGGAGGCCATAACATCTTTATACTTTTTAGAAAGAGTGAAATAATATTGCGTGTTTTTTTTTCTGGTTGGCTTTTGGGCTTTTCATGTAAAGGCAGTAGGTTCGTGCTGTGAAAACGAGGGCGTACTCACAAGAAATATTCCTCGGCAGGAGGCCTACGCACTTCTTGTTCTGCCTGATGCGTGATGTTCTTCAGGGCGGCTTCTGTTGCCGTGTAACATTGTCGACGGAAGTACGTTTCATTTCTTGCCGCGCATCTCTCTGCCTCCTCGTAAGAATAACACTCTGAAAATAGTTCCCTTTGTGTGTAGAATTTCTTATTTTTCTCTTACACGGCTGAAATCTCAAGGCCTGTTTGTTGAGTGAAAATGGCTGTGTTAAGGAATGGAAAATCAGATCCTGACTGCGTGTACGTGTGCTATAACTGTGTCCATAAACTGAAATATTTCTGTTTGAAAAGGCTTTTTCTCAGTATCTTTAAGCAGTGTATTCATGGTTGACTTCATTCAGTCTCACCTTTTTGTAGTTAATGCTTTTTATTATTTATACACTCGAGAAATTTCTATCTCCAGTTGTTAAACCATTAATATCAAAAATGGCCGAGTGATATTCGCATAATTTCCAGCCATTCCACGAAAGCCCCCATGCATTATAGTCCTCAGCTGTGGATAGAATTCGGTACTTGTTGGTTATCGGGACACAAAACGGGAGAGTCGAATATCTGGACTTGGATTGGACGGAAAACTGCGCACGCGTAGCAGTATACCCGTATACTCGGTTGTTGTTGTTATCTGTTAGTTCGTTCAGTTTGTCATTTATCCACACACATTAACCTAACCTATTTTTAAAGCGATGTGTCCCGATAACCCACACGTACCATTACTTGAGATATGTGAGGGTAGATTTAGCATGATAAACCCATTGTCTTTTGCAGCATCTATTGCATCAATAGAAAGATGGCTTTTGAGGTTGTCTTGAATTAGTAGTGACAGATTTTCTTTTTGCTGCTACTTTAGCACTGAATAAAATTCTGTATGACCTCTACAAAGAGTACACTAATCCTCCAGCTAGTGTTGTAAGCTAACCCTGAAGGGGGGAAAATGTCTTCATCTTCATGAACTGTGGTTCTCGTAAGTTATGCATTGAAATGGAGGTTAGGTGGTAAGGAAGCCTTTATTCCTTTTATCGATGTCCGAGTCATGGCGTACTTGATAGTGAAGGCCGTTTAGTTACTAATAATAATATTTCTGCTTACAAAAATAGACGTTACGTCCACAATATCGCTCCTTCAAATATCCAAGGATGACCGATGGGATTCAGAAATGATAAAAGTACCAAAAATAGACATTGTTTGGCTTACGCAATGACAGGCGTGTGTCTGAAGTGTGAAGCAGTCGCTGAAATGCCAGACGTTTTCTCATTAGCTGTGAGATGGCAGAATTTCGAATCACCTTGCATTATTTATACAACGATAATAATTGTACGTGGCTTGTCTCTAATAGCTAGAAATACTGGAACTGAAGAAATATAATGTAATTAAAACTTATGTCAGTTCAACACATAAATCTTTAATGAGTTACTCAGAAAGTTTCACTGAATGTCACAGCCAAGTGGTTAGCATTCTTGCTTCATATTTCGAATGTCCCATGTTAAAATCTTGGTTTATCGTGATTGAGGTTTTGTGGTTTTCAGGTAAATGTCGGAATAGTATCTTGAATTATGTGATTATTATTAATCATTTTAATTTTATTGTTTTCATTAATAAACTGTCTGAAAAGACGAATTTAGGTCTACAGTTTTTTTTACGTGGAAGGAGGATTGGAATTACAAAGCACAGACGAAGTCTGAAGTCTGAGATTTCAGCTGAATGATGTAAATAAAGGAAAATATTTATAGAAAAGGCGAAAAAAAAACACTCAGACGTAAAACACAATGGAAATCATACGCCCGACCTGTCAAGACGTAGGCAACACTGAGAGACAGTAATTGGAGTCAACAAGGAAAAACTAGGAAATCACGAAGCGAGACTTACGAAATTTTCAAGAAAATTAATTACGAATTTTTAATGGCTTGGGAATAATATGGCGGCGTTTTAACAGAATACGCTTTGTCACTGAGAGCATTAACCTAGATTAAAGTGACGTATATACGAGGGTGTGTTCTGGCAGTTAACGTAGACTGATGACGTCAGAGTTGAAAAACAAAATACACTGTCGCTCTTATGCAAATGTATAATGCAAACTATCCAGGTACAACGTTACGTACCAAGTTCAGAGCACGCTTAAAGCAAAAACGTTGTACGTATGTGTATATTGCTTGGTTAACGTCTTTGTCAACAGAGGAGACTGTGTAGCGTTGAGGGACTGAGAAAAACATCGAAAATATCAGGATAACCAGTCTTTGGGACGATATTTATAAAACCGGGACGTCCCGAGTACAAAGCACTTTTGGCAACTCATTTTGAAATAAGCCTTTTTGATATCGTCGTCAAATTTGAAGTAGTGAATTTTTTTTTTGTTAAATGATGAAATGACAAGTCGTCTTTAAAAATTGTTCTTTCTGGATTGAAATGGTTTGACAGGTTTTTTTTCCCCCCTAAAATTCTCTAATATTAAATTAGTTGAGATTGGGTTAACCGCTCACGAGTTGATTTACGTATGCGTATGGTGGAAGCTGATCGATCACGCTTTACGTCACATCAGCCGCGCGTGAGCTCTCCTTTCTTATTCCCACCCTCTTCTCAGAACAGTTTATGTCGATCGATATTCGAATATCAGCTCCTCTTGAAAACGGATCAGATATGCAACTACACAAACGCACGTCAAAATATGTTCCACGGTCTTTTAGACTAGGATTAATCTGGCTAATGATTCTAGAATTCGATATCTGAAATCGATTAACTTCACTTCTCACTTGGTATTTGTTGTCGGCGATGTAACTTTTGTCATTTACAATTCTGACGTCACCTGCTTGCAACTGCTTTCCTATCCACATTCTGACTGTTCACCTACATTACAGTCATCAATCATCCAAGCAATTATATAGCAGTGATGACTGTCATTAGATGACGCATACAAATCTTCAGTAGGTAATTTAGAGGAGTTGCCCAGATTTTATCGCTCTGGGTGGGAAACAGAATTATCAAAGCCAATCCTCATCCAGGAATTATGCAAAGTGATGTGTTCGCCTTCATCACCACCTTCACTTCTGGCCATAGGAAATCATCTTGTTCCTCCTTCAGTTACACATCTCTTTCTTGGACAACCAATGTCTCTTTTTCCTCGTTTCGTGCAATTTAAATATTGGCGAGATTTCGGGTTCATACGGTGGCGAGTATGAAGATGGCTGTCTCTTGGGATGTTGCGTCGTGTCGTCTCCAAAAGAACTGGCCAGATTTCTATTAAATTTAGTATTGCATGTCCACACTAAAATTTAATTGTCTTTCTTATCGCTCAAATATAAACCATTATTTACACGGATATTAAATATAATTTTATATAAAAAAAACTTATCGTATGAAAAAATACGTGACCTTCTGGCTTCGGGATGGATGGCCTTGGTTCGATTTTTGATCACGTGCATACCGTTTCGCCCCCGCCCACAGTAAACTTCTTTCCTTGGGATTAACCGGTCGGCGTGTGAGGTTAAGATTACGTGGAGTTGTAACTCTACTCCGTCATACGCCTTCACGGCGTGATTCGTGTAAACAGTAGAAGAAACACGTTTCTAAAATAATAGAAACTGTTGAAGTTATTTAGAAAAAAAAGATTAGGGAATTAAATACACAGTGATTTAATTTGTACAGAATTACAGAGTTACGATAACTAGAAAAAAAGAAACATGTTATTCCAGTGCACCTTTGAAGAATCTATTATAAATTCTCCGTTTCTAACCGATTGGAGGAAGGTCTTCAGGGCGACCATTAACAAACCACTGGGACTGGTACTTGAAAGGCTGATGAATCAAGACGTAAAGTGTGTTAGACCTGCTGATAGAGGCAGAACGTTCCTCTCAATTGTTGTCACACGACCAAAACACTAATCGGCCTAACCACCAAGAGCCTTGGTGTTCGTGTTATTGGGGAAGACCTCAGTTCTTGGGGAGAGTAAGTCGGACTAAGCTGGAAGGTCTCTGGAGCGTTTCAGAAGCATCCCTTACGACCTACGCTTTGACCCTGATCTGTGCCTTGCCGAAAGGTCACAGTGTCATCAGTAGGTCTACCTTCTTTCTGCACTACCCACATCCCTCCTTTATCCCTTCTCCCCTCCCCCCCAAAATATCTGGGGGCCCGGAAACCCTCTCTATTGATCTTTATCCCTCCATTCATAGCGCCGAGGCATCCACCAATCCGGTACGTTGTTGCATTTGGAGAGGGGATGTGTTAGGTGGAGGGGACATTTCGCCTACGTCACGAACCCCGGCTCTGGTCGGTCCAGACGCGACCTCTGTCAAACGTCTTCGGATTGAACCATGGGCTCACAAAATTAGTATTACAGAGGGTACCATCTTTTCCCTTTCCGTTTGGAATTCATTTTCCTGCAAGTCTCATGTCCCTGTTGTGGGTGTCTTCCGTTTGCGCGTGAGGCAGGGTCAGCTACTACCGGATTTTATTAGCAAAGAATACGTTTTACAGACTTCAAACTACATGTCACAGTGGATAATAACGTCATATATACGTATTGATCGACGCTTCACAGACTCGCAAAAACCATTCTTTTATATCTGACAAATTTAGAGGAAATTATAGGACGAATACCTTAAGGGATTTTGCGCCCTGATGATGGAGGCAGCAGGAACCTCTGAAACGTCTGTTAATTTATACCAGACCGCACGACGTAACATCGCAGCAGCCATCTCTTTACACACCTGAAATATCACCTACATTTTATTCATATCTTATGTGATGGTGTATAAAATGTATCTCACATATTTATTTATTTAGTGTTCTGTCTGACGACAGGTCCATATGAACAGGATCCTTTCATCCTTTTCTCGGACTGGGACCTGTTCATATACGTTCTTGGCAGATGATCCAGAAGTGGTTTGCCATTGCCTTCTTCTGTGTGTGAATGGAGTAATGGTTGGGATGCCACGGAGGAAAACTCCGGGTTGCCTAGACCACGGCCTGGCCCAACACAAGTTATAAATTCGAACCCGACACCCCAGGATTACAAGGCCAGCGTTCTAACCGCTAGACCACCAATCATCTCAATAAGGCTCTGAGTACAGCATGAGTCATGAAATGAGAGAAAAATTCAACCCATGGAAAAAACAAAAGACGATAATTATCCAGGAATGCTAACCATTTGAACGCAGATGTCTCTGCATGTAAATCAGAGTTAGTTAAATGTAGTTACTTACGTTCTGTGCTCCACTCCTCGCAGTTTTGCCACGGTAAGACGCTGTTGAAGGATGCAAACATGTAAAATAATGTCCAGGCGATGATCAGGTTGTAGTATAGCATCACAATGGCAGACACGATCACCATTCCATAGCCGAGACCTCGAAACAGCGGGCAGAATTTCTTGTAGATAGCCACAGGTCCCAGGTTCGCGTATTGGCCGAAGGACAGTTCCATGAACATGAGCGGCAGACCGGCTATCACAAGCATTATCGTGAATGGTATAAGAAAAGCCCCTGCAAACATGAAGACGCACAATGCTACACACACGCGCACACATCCTTCGGAACACCGTGACCTTTCAGTTTGTCACAGCGGCGAATATGAAGCAGTCTTCTTACGGGCATCGCCCTGATGCCGGAGGCAGCCATTTTCGAGAAAGCAGGGGTTCAAAGCATTTTTTTCAGACTTTGGGCTACATCTCCACTCCCTATATACTCGCGGACAGCAATGAGGACGGGTTATTGAAATACCATGGAAATTTATTAACATTGCTGTTAAATGAAGCCCAACATTGCAGATAAGTTTACATTTTTTTTAAAAAATTTTATAACATAACAAACCATTAGTGAGACATGTAAATTTTTTTTGTAACATAACAAACCATTAGTGAGACATGTAACACCTTTTTTATTCGAGTAATCTTGAAATATCAGGTTTAATTTCTGTTGTGATTCGCGTTAGTTTTTCAGACTGTTCCTTCCACATCCTTTTCTATTCATTCTTTACTAACACCCTCTCATTCGACGCTGTGTAGTTTGAGCTACTGAAAAAAAACGTCGTTTAATATACAATAAATATAAATTCAAATAGTTCATTAGTAAGATACGTCCTCGTTATTGATTTGACTTTCTCCTTTAAGCTGAGTACTCGCTCACAGGGACAGTTAGTGCCAGGTACCGAAGACATTAAACAAGACGTTTTATATTACCAGACGAAGTTACGCAGTATTATAGGGAATTTACGTGTGTGAAATTCTGGGTCGCGAGTTGGTAATTCATGTTACTGAGGGCAAGTTTGCGTAGGAGGACAAACAGGAAAAGGAGCATTGATAATGGATTCAGTGTCAAAAGTCATAATAAACTTGACTAAACTCACCCACAAACTCGCAGCCAAAACTTTTGTAAGATAACAGACAGATAACGGCATTAAGTTGGTAAGTTTGTAAACCAGAAAGTCACGCTGGAATGACTTCATTCAAAAGTTCATGTTCTCTCCTTTCAATGAACATGACACGTGCATATGAATTAGCGCGTCGTTTGTTAAACCGAATGGTCTCAGTCACGTCAGTTAACTCATCGCTGTTTCACGACGCCATAACTCGTAAAGTTTCCGTTTCATTGTCAGCGGAGTTCAAATCATATTGCAATTACGCTTATCTACTGATGATGGAGACAGTAGGTATTTCTGAAACGTCGTTCAGTTTCTCGGGATGCCAGTGGACACGACGTCAGACAGCCAATGCCGAGAGTAGCAAATCTATAAAGTTGGGACGTCGACCTCGAAAACTGCAAATGAAGCCAATAAAATACCTGGACATCCCACAGCGGATACTGACAATCGACTCCGAGCGTCACGACGTCAGCAAAGACACCAAAGACTATATTTCGGACAGGTTAACTTCAGGATGCCATTGGACGCTCCAGAGAATTGACGCCAATCATCGCGACGCCTTCAAAAACGTTTGCAACACGTAAGATCCCGGAAGGAAATTAAATCGATGTTAGAAAATAGACGCCAGACGTAGCGACGCCAGTTGTGACGGCGCCAAGAGGCGTCATTAGAGAAATTAACTTCAGCAAGTCAGTGGACACAAATTTGGAAATTTGACATCAAGCGTCGCGACGCCCATTGTGATGCCGTCAAGAGACGTCATATTAGGGAAAATTAGCTTCATGGAGTCATCGGGTAGGAATTTGGAAAGTCGACGCCAAGCGTCGCGATGCGAATTGTGACTGCGTTAAGAGAAGTCATATAATGGAAAATGAACTTCGGGAAGTCATCAGACACAAATTTTTAAAATCGACGCTAAGCGTCGCGACATCAATTGTGACGGCGCCAGGAGAAGATATTAAGGAGAATTAAATTCAGGAATTCATTGGACACGGATTTGGAAAATGGTCGCCAAAAATTTGGACTGACCTTGTCGTAATCTTGAGGTGACGTTGACCTATCAAAGATGTTATACTGACGTGAAAATGGTAATTCACGTTCTTACAGATCGGCAGGAATATCCTAACCTAACCTAACCTAGCCTAGCCTAATCTAGCCTAACCTAACCTAGCCTAACCTAACCTAGCCTAACCTAACCTAACCTAACCTAGCCTAACCTAACCTCACCTAACCTAACCTAACCTAACCTAAACTAATCTGAATTCAAAATTTTACACTTTCTCGCCTATCCGGCGCGTCGTCTTGAGTCTAGCTACTTGTAAGGTCACCATAGCAGACTTAGAGCTTATAAAACAGGTAGGACCAGTAGGCTTTAAAGTGTTAATTTGACTGCAATATGTCACCGAAGATTTGATGGTGTTTATTTATTTACATTTGAAAAATATTGCTGTGTGAGCATGGTTTTTCCTTTACAAAATTTATCTTCCATAAACGCATTAGTCATTAATAGAATAAAAATGAATAACATAGAAAATAACTCGTATATTCGTAATGTTTAATTAAAAATTACAAAACTGTTTTTTTATAACTAACCGTGCATTATCTTAATTGGATTTAACAACTTTCGCTTGTTGAATGTCGCATAATACTGGTCTGTTTATTCACAGAAAAGATTGGATCACTCTCCAAAATTAATTACTCACCAAACAGAGGCGAAAGAATATTTCAACATTTCCAATTTCCCCGCAGCCTTGTCTTCATATAATTGTGCCATCTGTATGAATGTAGTCTGATAGAAATTTTCTGTTTTCCTCTGATAACTGCGCACAGCCTTAAGTTAACAGCAAGTAATCTACTGGGTTAATTTGTGTGCTTTAAATGCCAGAAATCGTAAGACATCCACTGTGGTTATAACACAGTCCTTACCCCAAATTATGTTTTTAAAGTGAACGCTGTGTTCGTAATTTTAATGAAAATGATCAGATTATACTTTTGAGACATTGAAAGAAATGGATTACATTTATTTTGTACATTTTGTGGGCAGGGTTGGAGGCGAAGGGGTTGGGCTAGATCGATCCCTAATCGATTCTCACCCTCTTCGGAACGAGGAGCAACATTTCGCAGTCAGTTGCTGATGTTACCCTCCACCCCGTCCGCCCCCCCCG